TTATTCATTTACAATAAATGTCATAAGTACATCAAACTGATTGGAGCTAAGGGCATACAAAACTGTCTAACAACTCCCACTTGCACTTAGGTTCAATCTGGAATAAGCCGGAGTCCCATACTTTCCACGTGTTTCTCAAACACTTTCTGTGTGAGTGGCTTAGTTAATGGGTCTACAACATTCTCCGCTGAAGCTACCTTCTGAATCAGGACGTCCCCTCTACCAACAATCTCCCGCAGTACGTGGTACTTCCTCTCGATGTGCTTGGACTTCGAGTGGGCTCGTGGCTCCTTGGCCTGAGCAATGACCCCATTGTTGTCGCACAGCAACAGGATGGGTGATGTGCTGGATAGAACTACTCCCAACTCTTGGATGAAATTTTTCACCCACACGGCTTCCTTGGCAACCTCACTTGCGGCAATGTATTCGGCTTCGGTTGTGGAATCCGCCGTAGACCCCTGTTTCCTGCTTTTCCAGCAAATAGCACACGATCCTATCGTGAATACGTAATCAGATGTAGACTTTCTATCATTTGGATCCGACTGGAAATCAACATCAGTATACCCTTGGATCTATAGTGATGCACCATCGAATACTAGACAAAACTCTTTTGTCCTTCGAAGGTACTTAAGTATGCATTTCACAATGGTCCAATGCTCCTATCTTGGGTTGGCTTGAAATCTGTTTACTATACTCATCGCGTGAGCAATATCGGGGCGAGTGCACAACATGGCATACATGATGCTCCCCATGGCAGAGGCATAGGGAACATTCTTCTTATCCTCGATCTCCTCAGATGTCTTGGGAGACATCTTCTTGGAGAGAGCAACTCCGTGCCTGAAAGGAATGTTTCCCTTCTTGGAGTTTTCCATGTTGTACCTTTTAACGATTTTGTCAATGTAAGCAGATTGGGATAATCCTATTATCCGCTTCGATCTATCTCTATAGAGTCGAAGACCCAGTATATAAGACGCTTCTCCAAGATCTTTCATGGAGAAGAGGGAAAGAGACCTAGGGGCAAAGCTCTTTTTCTATTTAACATAAAAGAGATGTATTACCGTAATTCTCTATCCTTATCTTCTTTAATATAGATAACACATAATATATTATAGGATGTACCATAACACATTGTATTATCACCCTATTCATTTTTTTGTAAATGGAGGGGTGGGGGTGGGGAGTTGGTTAACAGAAAAGTTGCTCCCGTTGACCAACCAATCCTGTGTTTTCTTTTCAGTAATTGTGAGTCCCATGGTAAATTTCTTTTCCCACGGATATCGCTTACCTAGGTACCATTTCCCAGGTGGATTAGTAATTTTCCCATTTGGGGGAAAGTTGTGAAAACATTATGGGACAAAATTGCCCCTTCTAATAATGAAATTTTATGGGTAAAAATGGTCAATTGCTTAACTTACCTCTGGGAAACACTTTTGATCAAAAGAACACGGGTAAATGACTTACCAAAAACCGAACAAGGCTTAAAATGTAGCTATAGTAATAGTATTATAATAAAGGCACTCACCTTGTGTTTTTTGTCACCCAAGCTGGTGCCTTGTTGCCTAGAAGGGTGTTTGTTTTCATTTAAGCCATGTTTTCAGGCTAGTGCTCACTACAAGTGCCTAGTTGTCTATGCTACGCCTTGATGGGCAAGTTTCTAAGGTAGTGAGTTAATAACATTTTTCTTGATGATAGTATGGACATGGTCAGCATTGTGCTGTTGTTTCTTTTCCCTTTTCCTTTTTAGGATGTTTGGAGTTTTCTGAAATCTTCACATAAATGATTTTTTTTTTTTATTATTGTTACTGATAAATAACACTACCCAAGGAAAGTATGCTTGCTCAAACTCTAAGAAGCAATTCTCTTCTTCCCAAAGAGAAGTTTTCTGACTCAAAAATACAAAAGATGATTCCTCACCTCACAAAGGGATTCTTACACCATGCCAAAAGCGTAAGTATCAAAACCCAGGGCACAAGGTATATAGAACCTTAAACCTCTATTTTGGTGGAGGAAAGGCACAAGTTCCATTTTCTTGATCTGTAGGGATACACCATCCTAGTGGCTATTAATCTCTTTGGGTGTGTGTGTGCCAAAAAGATATCTATGACTTGTAGTCCATTTTTTGTATTTCATTCTTTCATTGTAGTGGGTTTTGATATCTGCCTTTATCACATGTCTTGGGATTTTTTAAACTTCTTTTAAAGGAAACTTATGGCATCTAGGCACCCTTGCACTTAGCACTCAACATGATTATAAGGAAGGGTACATCCAATGAGGACTTAACACTTCAATTTCGGTTCCCATTATATATACATACATTTTGTCCCCATGCACTGAGATACTTAAAAAGGGAATTATTCAATGTGGTCCCAGCTATTTGGGGTCTTGGGAGGGGTGGACTGGATGCGGGCTTAACCTCTGGCTTTTCTTGCAAAACTCTCAGACTTGAACCCATGTCCTCAAACTTGTCAGCTCGGGATTTTACCATCATCGTGTCTTGTCTGAGTGCTAAGTGCCAAGGATTTTTGCTGACTTAGCTTGGGCCTTGAGAACCACTGAGATTAGTGTTGCATCAAATGGACATGGGAGTCAGAATGCATCACATGTCAGGACTCGGCTAATTGGAAAAGATGGATTCAGGACATAGCAGAGAAAAAAACTATTTACTATAACTCTCGCAACTATAGTTTTCAAGAAGCAAAGGTGAACTTAGGTGACAGGGGAGCGCCTAGTTTCTTGCCCAGGCGTTGCTTAGTGCTTCAGAAAAGGACACGAAAACAAAAGGCTAAACCCCTCTTTTTGTTGTAGAAAAAGAATTTAAAAACAGAACATAAGAAGGAAAAGAGGGGGGGGGGGGGAATCCCTATTCTTGTTTTAGAAAAAA